CTAAGTATTAAACTCTTAATAAAATATATATTTTAATAGTCTAGAAACATTATTTATTATTTATAAATTGCTTAATTACTTAATAAAAATTTGAGCAAATTCATACAAAAAAGTATATGTAAGCTTTTAAAGATTTTCTGTACATTATCATTTTAATTGAATGATTATTTATTATTTAAGAAAATGATTGGTTAATTCAAATTTTATCAAGTTAGATTAGGTTAATTAATAGATTGATCTGACTTAACATTAACCTAAAAAGTTACTGATCTGATCTGAATTTTTAGGTTATATTAGATCAAATAAATAGATTAATCAAATCTGATTCAGAATTTCAAAAAATGTTATTTTTAAATAAATAATCATAGTTATTAAGAAGTTATGTTTAACTAATCTACATAAAAGAGTAAAAAAAAAGGTAATATTCTTTAATAATAATAAAGATAATATTTTAATAAAAAGAAAAAATCATGTTAAATATATAGATTAATTGTTTATTTGTCAAGGTTTTGATTTTAGGATAATGATAAAATTAAAATTATTTTTTGTCTTATTTTTTAATGAAAGATATTGAATTAAAAATATTAATCTAAACTTTTAAGAATTTAATCAAACTTAATTTTAATTTTAAGTCTACAATATTGAATTCAAATTTTATAGATATCTTTTAAAAAGAAATAATAGTATTTATCAATAATAATGACTTATTTTTTATTAATAACAACTTTTGTAATAAAATAAAATTTATTAGCAATGTTTAAGAATTTTATCAAATCTTTTTTAAACTTAGTGATCCAATTAGAATTATTTATATGATTAAAAGCTAAGATCTGTATAAAAATTATTGATAAAATCATATTTTTGATGTTCAAATCTAAGTATAATTTATATTATAGCTTTTATTTAAATTGTCAATTTCAAATAAAAAAAATTAAAATAAATACACTTCTATCTTATCTTATATTATGTAATTTATTAATTGTAATATATAATTTTAGCTAATTGTTTATTCATTATAACACTTTATTCAATTAGTTATTTTCTAATCTTTTAATATTATAATTTCTTTATAATATTTTTTTTTTTTAGTAAAATTATGTGATAAATTATTTAGAAAATTTTTAATTTTATAACATCTATATTATAGTATATATAAAAAAATATTTTCTGATTTTCAAATTTATAAATGGTTATAAATATAATATACATTTAAATATTATAATAAAAATCAAAAAACCTTTAGGAATAAATTAATAAGATAGAAATAAGTTGTATATTTAGTTTATTTAATCTAAATTTTAATGTTACTGAAGATATAGTTCAAAATAAAAATATGTAACAAGTTAAATAAAATTCTTATGAAATTTAGTCAAATAAAAATTAAAATAAGAAAAAAATTAGCTTTATATAGTCAACTTTTGATATAGCGAACTTTTAATATAATGAATTTTTGAACAAATATAATAAAAATACTTTTATTATAGTGAATTGGCCAATTAAATCTCTTAAAATCTTTATTATAGCTTATAGCGAAGTTGAGATCTAGAATATAGAGTTCATTATAATAGAGTTAACTATATTAGTTTTATGTGATGATATAATAATATTAGACATTAAATATTCTTATATTATATATATAGTTTTTGTCTATTGTATTTTAATATAAATATAAGAATTGAATAAAACGCATTTAATATTACTATATATATTTATAAATCTAAGATAATTATAAAATTTTACTGTTTATCTAATTAAATAAAATTTTTAACTATACTGATTATATGTTAAATAATTAGAATTATTAATATTAGACCAAATTTTTATTATTAACTTATTTTAGTTGACATTATAAGTATTTAACCAACCAAAAATTTTATCTAATCAGATAAATTTTTAATCATGCTTATGTGATTTTTAATAATATTTTAATCAAATTGTACTGATTAATTATTTTATATTACATAATTATAATCACCTAATATAAAGATTGATCCTTTACCTATCTTTTAAATCAGCTGATTTCTAATATATCACTTATTTATTTTAATTGATAAATGACTTGATACTAGTCATTTTGACTTTATTATCAAAATAATAATTATCTTTAAAGTGATAAAAATTAATAAATAAATATTACTATTAAAAATATTTTAAAAATATAGATTTTACTATAATTAAAATACAATTTAAATATAAATATTCAAATGAATAAAATGATATAATGAAAAAATACTTTATATATAATTTGAATCTTTAAAAAAGATTTAAATAAAATCTTGATTAAATAACTTTCTTATTAAATAAATAGTTATAAATTAACAAGTCATTTTTTTTTGTTAAAAATAATAATCTTTGACAATTTATTAATAAATTAAATTAATAATATCATTTTTTAATAATAAAATTCATTTTAGCAATATTATGAAATTATATTATGAAAATAAGAACTTATTTTAAAATTTTTTTAAAATAATTGAATAAAAGGTTGCAAATATAATAGATATATAAATCTCCTATACAAAATCTTAAATATATTACTATGATACTTCATTAGATTGATAGAAGCTGAACTATAAAACAAATATTATTAGATATAATACTATTTTATAAATGGTATATTAGGTTATATAACTAAAAAGTTTTAAAGGTAATTTTATATTATAATATAGACGTACAAATTATTTCTGTAATAATTAATAATATATCTAATATAAATGTATTTAGATATATATGAATAAATATATTAATTAAGATTTTTAACATGTTTATTATATACATATATTCTTAATTTATTATAATTAATAGTTTAAAAATTTAATTGTGAAATTGTGAAATTTTATCAACTATATTTATAAGTTATAGTATTTATTTAAAGATCTTTTAAATGAAAGGAAAGGCTTTTTTCTTATTTCAGATTTAGATGATGAATAATATATATAGGCAGTAGTTAATAAAAAGGAAAAAATCTAAATTTTAATAAAATTTTTTTATTGATCCACTTGATTGATCACAGTCATATGCTCAAATTTAGCTTAGAAACTAAAATTTCAGATTTTTTTCTTTTAATAATGCCCAGCGAAAGATATTTCTTCAAAAATTTAATCTTATAGAATTATGTTGACACAACCTGTAATGAAATTAGATAAAAAAAAAAGACCCTTTCATATTATGATAAACACAATTTGTAAAATGATAAATATCCTTTTAGAAAATAATCCTGCATTAGAGAATTGAAAAAGAATGAAATAAGTTATAATGAATATTGATTTTTTTAAAAACAAATTTTAAATTTTTCGTTAAAGTGATTGCTATATTACTTAAACCTTTTGTTAAAGTAACATCTATTTTATTCTCATTTTTATATCCTAAAATGGTATGATTTTTCCGGTTATTTTGATGAATACAATACAATAAAAGGCCAAGTTGCTCAACAAATGTAAATTTCAGTGACCATTGGATTATCCTTAAAATTGTTATCCTATATTCGTATTAGATCCAAATATGATGAAGCTATCCTCATTTGATAAAAATATAGCAAGAAGAATACGTGAAATATATTATATAATAAATCTTTAATGAGGATTCCAATTCTTTAATTATTACTGAAATACCAATAATTCCTCAAGAGACTATTTCAGGAATTATTACAAAGACATGTCTTTGATTGCTGAAAATAATGTACACACTGCTCTTGAAGAATATCTCGCGTCAATTGTGATGTCCTAGCTGATTTACGTTATGCTGGGCTTGTACATATGAGACAAGACTACTTGATTGTACAAGTACCAAGTGTGCCCAGTGAAGAAATATTATCGACAGCTAAATACGATCAATCCTGTATGTGATCGGCTATCAGAAGAGAGGATTCGTGCAAGCTTTTGTCTAAACATGATACAAATCGGGTATTATTGATACATAGATGAAAGATAGATAAATTATAAAACAATCCTCTATAATTTGTAATCTACTAACGCTAATAGCAAAAATCAAAAAAAAATCGCGTTTAAGCAAGCAAACAAATTTACTAATACATTCATACAACTAAATTTAAAGCATAATTTAAAACTGGTTTATTCACATGCTTTTGAAACAGTGTTTGGAAACATAAACCGAACTACTCAAGCAAAATCACATCCCTACTTCATATTATTAAATCTTTTGAAGCAATGTTGCATTCAGAGGTTGAAAAAAAAAATAAGCCGAAAATAAGCGCATTGCGCCGGCCCGAAACCTTAAAATACAACCGCATGTTGTTAAGGCTTTAGATATGTTAACGCAAAATAAATTCGAAATCGGATAAAACTTGGTTAATATGTTCTTACTCGGTTTTGACTTACAATAATAGAACAGGTGAACTTTCTGGATTCCCGTATTTTTTTATTAAAAACAAAAAAAAAAAAAGTTACAGCACCCAGTATTCCCACGTTGTCCCCAACCGTAGTACTGACTGGGCCATCAGTGGCTTGACTTCGGAGATCGGACGGGTTCCGGTGCTTTTCACTGTGTATGGCCGTAACTGTTTGAATGTAAAAATAATGCCTTTATAAAATTATTTTATTTTAAAAATTAAAAGAACGAAAGAAAATAATGATCGTTTCTCAAAAGAAAAATCGGTATAAAAAAAATTAGAAACCCTTTGTGATTTACTTTGTTTCGAATTCTGAAAGAGATCAACCATGTTACATGGTAACGAGCTGCGTTAACTTGAGCCTCACGTGCGATTGTATCATAAAATTTATTATAATTTCAAATCTGTATTAATTAAATGATGACTCAGAGAAATTCAGGGATTAATTAAACTTAAAGCAAAACTATTTATTATGGGATTTTTAAGGGTAAGAAAAAGGGAATTATCAAAGGATTTACTTTAAAGGTAATGAGGCTTTTTTATCAGATTTTTAAAGAATAAATAAATCGCGTTCTTTCATGAATTTCTTTGTTGCGTTGGTCTAAACGTTCGATTGGCATTATACAAACACAAACTTTCGGATCATGATTAATCAAATTTTAGTTCCTCTAACAGCATGAATGGTCATTGAATCATTGAAAATGATTGAAGTTCCGCAATTACCTGATTTAATAAGAAAATTCTCATTTAATAAAGGTCTTCATTTAATTTACTATAAAAGGTATTTATGTCTGTGTCCGAAACAATAACGCTTGGTGTAATAATCAATGCGGAGAAGTTGTCATTCATGATCCTCAACCCCTGAAATAGATATTTTTAATTAATGATAATTTTTAATAATTGAACAGGATTTAAGTGGCGTAAATAATGTGACTAGTAAAAAGAATAATGGATAAAAATCTTCTTCGCATCGCTAGCTGATTGTTAACAAACTGTTAGTCAATGCTATGATGAACCAATAGAGAATTAACCCGCGCGAGATTTGGAAACTTGATACAGAAAATTTTGTTGTACTACACAACTTTACGGTGCGGCTTAAAATTTTCTCCACAAATGATCTTTTAAGCTTAATAAATGATTCGGTAAACCTTCCAAGAAGACATTTATATCTTGCTGCACGACATATCGGCTGAATTTCTTCTTTTCTTCTTCTCCTTTTCATCATCATAAATCTATCCATATCTATGTACCTCTCTTTTTTTTTTTTTTTTTAATATTTTTTTTCAAAATAATTGATCTTGTGATTTTTTTCAATTAGGCATATGTATCACGAAGTGCATAAAAATTCGCATTTCTTTTATGGTTAATTACTTGCTGACGAATACAATACATGTTTGATATTATTTGTTATCAATGCATCAAATCGTTTTTTTATCGATCATCAAAAAAAAAAATCAATCAGTGCGTAACCACATCTATGGTTAAATTACGGTAATTTTTGTAAACGAAAAAAAAAAAAAACGCCAATCCAAATTTTTTTTCCTTTAACTATATGTAATTATCAAAACAAATGAATTCACTGATTGTATTATTACGATTACTCGTAAAGCGCATTTAAGGTCGAGTCATTTGACTTTCGTTATCATGCCTAAGCCTTCCGCATTATCAAGATCACGTCGAGCCAGGTACAAAAAAAAAAAAAAATTTTTTTTTTTTCTCGTTCTACTTCTTTAACAAAGAAAGCTAATTTGGGGTGACTGACTGACTGGACACAATTCGTTTCCTCTGATTTATTGTGGCATACTTTAATTTATGCAAGACAAACAATATAATTTCATACCTAAATAGGTTAGTTAATATTCGATTAAAAGTATATTGTTCAAAGAACGAGAATGAATTGAAAAGATATTAGGTGGTATATATTTTTTTTTGCGTTAAGTCGTTTAAAAGAAGAATATGGCGTTGTAAATTATTTAGGTTATAAACAATGTTGGATACTTTTTTTAATTTATGTAATTCATTGTAATGTTTGTGTCCTTTTTCCTCTAAAAAAGAAACAAACTCGAAAAGTCGAACTTTCTCATATGCATTCCTTTTTTTCTTTAGCATGAAATTTAGATAATTGATTAATGGTTGAAATAACGGAAATTAATATTAAATCTATATTTACGCCATTACGCATCTTACATTTAGCTTTCCTAACAGTTTAATAAACAGACAAAACAACAATACAACTCAAAAATTTGTGTCAAGCGTTAAATGTATCATGTGCAAAATAAAATGTATAATAAAAAAAAAAAAGATTTGGAAAAAATTTAATTTATGTACGAAGGAGGAAGATTATCCTCATACAGGTTTCATGAAAATTCACTTTTTTTTTTTTTCAAAAAAAAAAAAAACCACCTTTTGCCTTAAATTAGCGTAATTCTAGAATTTATCTTTAAGGTTTTGTTTAAATGATATGAATGCACGATGTTGTAATAATGCGTTACGAAGACCTTGAAAAATCATCTCGTGTTACAGTGACTCAGCGACTTGTACGCATCTTGGACAAGTATCTCCATACTTTCGTGAATCCCTCATTGCACGTGGCAAATTTTTTAAAGGTGAAAACATGATGTAACGAGAAAACAAATGCTTAAAAGGTTCGAAATTAAAAAAAAAAAAAAAATGCGAACCAAACGGAAATAAATCTAGATTGAGCAATCACATTTTTTGATGGATGAAAAATTCCCGATTCCTCTTTTTATTTTTTTTTCTTCCTCCTTTAACATTTAAACATACGACATACACGCATACATTTACATCATGCAAATCTAAATATTTAAACAAAAAATATTTCCTTAAAGGAAATATGACTATTATAAATGGATCAAAAGTAAATATATTTAATTAAATTACATATTAAGTAATCTTTTGATACATCCTTCAATTACCTGGAATTTGGTTCGATTCGAATAAAAGATCATTACAAAAACTTTAATTCCGACTCGCGTGTATATAAATATTGTACAAGAATTTTAAAACATTTAAACTTTATCCATGACGTAATGATACAATAAATCGCGAGTTATGTCATATAATATAAAAATATTAATTTAATATTGTTATTATCATATACAGTATGTAATTATATAATGGTATTCTATGCATGAAGAAAACAGTACATGTCACATCACGTGCATACAAGTAATATATCTAAATTTGTAACCGAGAACAACGAAAAAAAAAAACTAATTCTTTTCCTCGTATTGTTATTTTTTTTTTTTTCTGAACAAAAAAAAAAAGCAGCAGAAAAAGATCTTATACTTGTTATTGTCATCTTTGGGAGAGTGAAAAAAAAAAAAAGCTCCCGCCTAAAAACTGAAAAAATTTTTAAAACTTTAATTTCTCCTTTATTTCAAAAAAAAATAAAATTATATCATTAGGCATGAAAAATGATGTACAAAGGACAATCAAAATCAAACGCTTGATATGTATATATATAATTAGTTGCCTATTTTGTTAAATGTAATATCCCCTTCGTGTAGATCTTTTTTGTCCTATTCATCAGATGTCAATTTACCTAGTAATAGTTATTGAAATATTATTAAAAGATAATGCTAAGCAATCATTTTAAGTTTAATGATAAAGATTTCGTACTAGGGTAAAACGGAGATTTGATTTTTATTTTGGCGTTTTGAACTTCGTCGATTCATGTTCCAGAATATCGGTCTATTTTACGCCACAGTTTAAAATTTATCTTAAAAATGTACATACAATTTATCTTCTCCTAAATTTGGAAGATTACCTCTCATTTAAAAAAAAAAAGCGCAGAGGGCCATGTTTATTATCCCATCGGCAATATATAAAAAAAGGGGGGGCATTATCATAACTACCCGGCATAAGATTCCGTAACGATATTTATTCATCAGATCCGCAGCACAACGTTGCAGGATTTATCCAATCCAAATAATGTGTGAAAAGCGGATCCCAATTTACAATGTACATGAGATGATAATGATTGTGAGCTCAAAGTTATATGACCTTATTATTATAGGTAAAAAAAATACAATGATGTTACAATTCGAAATTCCTTGGAAATTTTCTATGCATTGGTTCGCCAATACTCTCTAAAAATTACACTACATCGAATATGCTTGCTTTTTATATGTGAAAAAAATTTGACGCTTTTTTTTTCAAACGTACTTGTGCGATATATGATATCTACGTGCATTGAATTCACAAACAATTGACCAAATAAGTTTACAGTTTTTTTTGCCATCAATGTCTTTTAAGGTGATACCGATGCACATCAAAATTTGTATCACGGTAGTACGTTGCAATTTGTGACAAATTTAGGAATTGTAAAAACTGGAGAAATGAATCCATATAACAAGGTATTACTTGCATAGGATCAAACCGGAGTCAAGAATTCCGCCAAATGTGATTGACAGCTATGCTAATCATACAAATTTATCGCCTCTAATCGAATTAATATTATCACTTCTTTGTAATAGTCGAAATAATCAAGACGGAAAAGAAGCGAGTGAGATAGAGCACGATGACATATTTTTGGGGCGTTGCGTTGATATTCTCCAATAAGGATTCTTTATTGCGTAATTAAACGAAAATCGATTGTTTTTTATATTTAGTTAGAAAATATGTGAAAAGAAAAGCAAATTTCTCCGATTCAATTGATTCAATTGTGGATTAAAAAATACCACTAGACTAATATGCTTAATGTCATCATCCGAAAATTTTTAGCTTTTCAAAACAATATGAAGAACTGAATTTGAAAAAAAAAAAAATTTAGCCCTATAACACCAAATAAATATATCAAATAAACCATCGTTTCCCGCTTAAAAAAATGTTGGTTTCATGTTGTACGATATTTGTGCATAAAAATTTACTTTTTTTTTTTTTTCTAAAAAAAAAATATATATATTTCATCCCGGTTAAAGTGTTATAATGAAGTCTGCATGTTGTGCTGTTGTGTATTATTTATTCATTATATTATGAGATAAAAAGACAAAGCTTAAATCAACGTTTGTATACAGTAGGCATTGTTTTATTGTTGTCTGACAATTCAATTAATTAATGGAAGTTGTTTTTGTTCCTTACGAAATGTAACAAAAAAAAATGATTAGTGAATCTAAATTAACGTGTAATGATATTCCGTACCAAATGTACAAAATTGGAATTCTTTCCAAGTAATTTTTCTTGCCTTTTTCGATTGTGTTGTACAGAAATTTCCCTTTGAAGGTTTATTCGATCAATCTCATTTTGTCGGATAATGCAAATAATAAAATAATAAACGAATTGCAAGTAAATCATCAAATTCATCACTCCTTAAAATATGCTACATGATGTTATCTGGCCGTTGTTTAATACATTGTCTCATTTATGGAATTATTCAACATCTTTGGGTGGATGATAAGGCAAAGGAGGGGCTTATCTACATGTAAAGGTTTGCGCGGTGTCACTATAAGTTGAGGCGATTGCATCAGATGGAAGAGGAGAATGTTGGGAAGGCAAAACCAATGCTCTCGTTGTGGCGCATTTAAGCATAACCAAGTTAAATTATTATTGGATGGATGGCTTTTTTTTATCCTCTTTTTTTTTTTAAAGTAATAAGTTATGTGTGATTACGTATGTGGAGAAATTATAATAATGGACGATGTCAATCAATTGTTTTGCGTTTGCATTATTTTCAAGGAAATAGGGATTTTTGGGCGAAAAAAAAATTTTTTTTTTAGACACAAGGCCAAATTCGTGAACAATGGATAAGCATTTGCAACTGTTTAAAATATATCCAGGGAATTGGAATATGTTAACTCATGTGGGTTTAGTCTGCAAAAAAAAAAAAT